CATGTCATAACTCTGATTTTCATTGGTTAAGTCATGCCATGTTTGGTCTTAATAGGTGTAATATAACATCCCTTGTTAGCCTTGCATGCCTCACGCCTTTTGGACTTTTGTTCTAGCTTGTTTTGGCCTTGGTCCACGCATGTTTTAGACTCACTTTGATATGCTTTAGGACTGTTTTGGTTTGCTTGGGCCATTGGCTTCATGGTTTGCATAGCCTAGTGTGATCCCCTTTGCTAGTTTCGAGTTTTGAGCTTTCTTGCATGCTATGCTTAACTTGTGTGCATGATTTGGCATCATTCCTCACATGATTTCGAAGCTCATTGCATTGCCACATTATCATGTTTGTCACTCCTTGCTCATGTTTGAGAGTTGTGTCCTTGTGCCTAAGTGATAGGCCAATTGGCATGCATGCTTGTGTCGCATTTTATTCCATCATTCCTTGGCATTTTGGCCACTGTTTTTGGTATGGCTGAGGTCTGTCCATTTTCAGTATAAGTCCATAGACCATACGGTTTGTGTGTTGTTGTATGCTTATCGCATTGCATGTTGTTGCATGCTTGTTGTTGATATTGTTATTGCATGCCTATTATATTGTATGTTTGCATGTTTAGGTTGCATTGCATTTTACATGCTTGGCACATTACATGTTTGCATGTTTAAGTTGCATTGCATTGTGCATGATTGCTACATTAGCTTGTTTACATGCTTAGGTTGCATTACACGGTTTGCATGCCATTATCATTGCGTTTAATATGCTTGCATTGCATTGTGTTTGGTTTGGGGTGTCGAACCAAACACGAGGAACGAGGGACGTTTCGTACTTGAAGTGACGAAACGTGCCTCAATCCTCGGTCGCCGACACTCTTGATCCAACATGATAGAGTGTGAGACATTCATGAGTTTTTGTGCATTCATTCCATATTGATTTGTGTAATTCGGCCTCTTTGGCCATCATGCATCGAAATGCGTGATTGATGGCCCGAGGATCGAACACTACACTCCTTTGAGTTCCAAACATGATAAGGGGTGTAGTTGCACAACATTTTCTTGCAAATGTATTGCCATGCCCTTGTTTGTCCTCTGCTGCAGCAAAATGAGTATTCTGCAGGAAGAGATGGCCGATCTGCTATCTTTAGTGCCGATCGGCTTACAATTTTTGGCCGATATCATTAATTGTGGTCGATGACCATTGTTCCCTGGCCGATGGCCTCATATTTTGGCCGATGGCCTCTCACAGTGACCATGAGGTGGTTCAGAAGCATCACAGGAACTTTCACAGTTTTCAGAGGAGCACAAGTGTGCAAACAGAGGCAACATGAGACATGGCAACGGATTTCCGAGCGAGGCGATCGAGCATGCATCATTCAATCATTCCGAGGTAGAGCTGTGGCAGCCTCTTTAATCTCATACTTAGTTTGTTTTGTAACTTAATTAATTTGTTTAATTAGTTAAGAGTTTTGTAATAATTAATGGGCTAGGGTAGTTAATTAATTCGTTGGCTTGTATTATTCATTCGGACCCTCTGTCGAGAGGGCAAATTTTGTAATAAGTGTGCGTGAATGTGTAATGTCTTCCAACCCCACGTCTTTCTCCCTTTTACTTACCTGCTTTCAGTGGTTAGTTTTAGGGTATATTTCAATTAGCATCTTTATGCTATGCATGTTTGCATTAATTCATTTATCTTGCATGCACCGGGCTCAGTGCATCATACTAACTGCATCGTATTTTAATTCCTACTTGAATACATGTTATCAAGTGTTGCATTTCATATGCTATTTTAGAATAGCCGAGCCTATTTCTAGTTGCATTTTGCATGTGTCGCATTAGCCATCTTAACATAGCTAGGATCATGCATCGATTACTAACTAGCTATTGTTTTGGCTCGGAGTACTAGGTAAGCTTTTATGCTTTAGCATCTTACATGAGTGTGAGTGTTAACATGACAACATGCTTGCCATGAGGCTATTTGCTTAACTGATATAATTGCCTGAATGCTTGTGGGTGAAGGTTGGATTGCTTGAATTGGAACAATTCATTGAAATGCGAGTTTTAAGCCCACTTGAGAGTGGCAAAATCATGTTTTCTAAGCCCACTCGAGGGTGGCAAATTTACGTCTTAGCCTACTTGCGAGTAACACCTTCAAACCATTTCCAAACAAACAAACATGGGATGTTTTGTTCCAATTTAAGCGATCTAGTCTATACTTGTGTGTTGTGCGCATCACATAGTAATTATAGGCTAATAACCGGAATAAGAACGCATGTGTTTTCAAAAACAAGATATCATGTTAGTAAAGGCCGATCTTTGATCGGGCGAGCGGGGGTGCTCATTGTATGACCTTCCCCTCTCGTACCTAAGTTCTCGAGCCAAGGCAACTTTGGTGATGACGGGCACGTGGCCTTAGGTAACGAGTCAAGGTTTCCTAAATTTTTCCAAAAATAAAACATTTAGGTGGCGACTCTGTATCTGGCAAAGCAGTCCATGTTTGACACTTCTTTATAAAAATCAGTTTTCCAAAACGATTTGCTGGATTTGGACTCTTTGGTGATTTATCGGTCTTGCATTGCACTTTGTGAGATTAAATTCAGAACCGTGACATTTGAGTCCGAACTGTAGTAGTCCAATGAACAAAACGGATTCTGCCCATCTCGCGCGTGGAGCCCGGGACGTTCGGGCGCATCTACACATGGCCAACATTTTAACAAGAGTCCCATTTTTATTTTTGTGTATACTTTAACATATTTATTTTTTAACTTAGTACATAGATGGTCTTATGAAGTTTGAGGTCTCAGTTTTTAATGTACAAGCTTGATATTTATTCCAGCCTTTGCTTCCACAGAAGTTGTGGAAGCAAAGGCTGGAAAAAGGTCCAGCAACATTCTCAATGGTGTTAGTTTGGGTTAATACTCTCTTGTTTGTTTTATGGGTTCTTAGATACTCTGGAATTTGTATGGTTGGTGTTATGACTTCAAGTTGATATTTTGATGAATGGACTGGATGGTGCGATGGGATTTGATGGCCCTTGCCCAAATTTTAAATATTTTGATCAGAGCTTGTGAATAATCTATAGTGGGTGATTGGAAGGTTAAACACTAGTTTTATGCTCCTAAATACATTTTCATTTTACTTGCTTATGTTGGAGATTTTAAGAGACATTGAATTAGCAGTCATTCATCATGAATTTTGGTGAATTGTGGCTATCTTTGAGGTATATGGTAAACTAAATTGTGTCATGGGATACTACTTGTAGACTAGTTTGAATAGCTGAGAAACCTACTTCTCTTTTCTGAATTGTCATAAATTGCTGAAATTTTTCATAAAAGCTCACCCTGGTTTAATTTTTAATTTTTTTCTCTTGAATTTTCTACACTTCCTGTGTTGATGTTTGGTTGCTGCATTTATGAAGTGATGCTAATCCATGAAGTATGTTATTCATTTAGTTCTGTTGTTTTCCCCCTTGTGAATTGGTACTGCTCTTGTTAAATATCATTAGAGAGTTGGTTGCAACTGTCATTGAAACCCTTAAAGTTATTATGAAGGCATGTACAATATTGCATAACATGATTGTTGAGGATGAGCGAAATGAACAAAATATAGACTGTAATTATGATGCAATCGATGAAAGTCTCCCTCCAACAGTGTCACACGAGTGCACACCTAAATTTTATGAATTCATTTAAAATCATCATCGCATTAGAGATAGACAAACTCATTCTAAACTCCAAGCATACCTAGTTACGCATTTGTGGCATCAACATGGAGATTTGTAACAAGTTGAATTAGAAATAGTTTATTTATTTTGAAGTTTATTCTTAACTTTGCTATTTATGTTTTTTTTTTTCTTATTTTATTCATTGACCTTTGTAAGGTTTTTGATTAGTTAATTTGTGTTCTTTCGGTTCTTAATTTGATAAATTACAATGATTGAAGAACGTCCCTTGTATTGTTACGTTTTAAAAAATTCTTTATTGTTTTCTTTTATTTTTCCCCTCCCTTCCTCTCCCAGATGGATCCACAAAATTCATATGTTGGTATATATTCACATACTATACATTTTATAAAAAAAAATTAAATATTAATTAAAAAATATTATTTTTAAAAATATTATTGCAAATGTCACATTGACAACCATATTAACATTTGGTGCATATGTGGCATTCTATGAAAAATACAGTATATATATAGCATTTTTTATTTTGAAAATTGGTTAAGTTAGTTTGTTGAATGACTAATTAAAATAAAGAGTATGGTTGGAATACACAATAGCTAAACTAATTAAGTAAAATAAAGGGTGTACTTTTTTTTATACTTTAGCTAGTGAAAAATAAAGAGTATTGTTGGAATTGCTCTTAGCTTTTTAGTTTTTTTGGTAGCTTTTTGATTTTTTACTAAAATCACCACTTGCCAAACAAGGCCTAGTCTCGTTTGGTTTTTATTTTTGACTTTTTAATTTTTGTAAGAAAAAAATATAATAATTATGATTTAAATATGACATTTTATGTTATTAACTTATGTAATTAATTCTATCTTTTATATTTTTTAAAGTCAAAACCAAATATAATTTTAGTTGTTAATTTTTCCCGACACGGGGGGAGAGGTTAAGGGAACCGTGACTGTTAGATTGTTAATGAAAGTTGTTGCCCCTGTTAGATTTTTACATTGCCGACCGCTCTTTTTAATCCAAACAACAATGCTGAAAGAAAAAAAAAAATAATGAAGAAATCAGACAACTAAATTACCTCTTGGTGGACGTGTCGGTAATGTACAGAAATGCAGAACCTGTTGTCTTCTATCATGACACCCTGTATTTTGCTGTATATATTTATTCAATTACAAATACAAAAAAAAAATCAAAACATTTCAAATTTTCATATTCTAAAATTATTTTTAAAGTATACGACTAAATAAATTAAAAAAAAATTTAAACTCAATCCCCAATTATTTTTTAAAAAATTTAACTACCAAAATCAAACCAAACCAAGCCAAACCAAACAAACCCGTTGTTTTTGTTTTCCGATCGATCTGCTTGCAAAACCAAAACTTGGCGCTCGCGCTCAAAAAAAAAAAAAAAAAAACCCTAACCTTCCTTGTTCGTAAAAAAATTGATCCAACAATACCTAGTAATTTCTTTGTTCGTGCGTTTGGAATTCAAGATTTTGATTGTTCGGCGTCGCGTTCTTGGCGATGAAATCTTAGTTTTTGATGTTCTGATTTGACGACCAAAAGAAAAAGACTGTGAAAGATAAAACCCCTAATAATTTAGGGATTTTGAATATGGATGCCAAGGACATTTTGGGATTGCCCAGAACGCCATTGCCTTTACCCCAGGAAAAGAAGTCAAGACCCCAGAAAGATTCTCAAAGAAAACCTGATGGCATTTCGCGTGAGGTACTTTGCTACTTTGCTCTCTCTCGCTCGTTTCATTCAATTGTTTCAAATTTTCTTGACTGGGTCTTTTTTTTTTTTTTTCTTTTCCTTTGAATTTCAGGTTTACGCGCTTATTGGTGGTTTGGCTCCTCTTATGCCTTCCATTGATGTTGCTCAACTGAAGCGGCGCACTCAATCAGAGAACGAGAAGGTTAGTTAGTGATTGTATAACTTACTTTATATTCAAATTTGGTTGAATTATTATAGAAACATGTTGGGTTGTTAGTCGCGTTTCTTTTTTTTTTTATTTTTTTAAACAAGTTTTAGGTGAAGTTAGGGCTTAGAACGAATTAGTATTGTGTGTTAAGCGTAGGAATGGCAATGGGGGTAATGGGGTGGATATTAATTCTCATCCCCATTCCCCTATAATAAATTTTCCCCATTCTCCATTCCCCATTCCCCATGGGTACCACCCTCCCCATTTTTTAATGGGTATGGATTTTCCCCAACCCACTTTAATCCCCATTTTTATTTTATATAGGGGAAGGGGTTGCAAGCCTTCCAAGTTGGGTGGGTAGGGCTGTTGGATGGGATGGCTCGGGGCTCATTCTTGGTTGGGTGGGATATTTGGAGGTAGTGGAGGGGGCATAGGAAGGTTTCTTTGGAGTAGAGCATTAATCAGGGCTTGGTTTTGCTCGGCGAGGCGGTTAATGTTGTTGGTGAGCTCAGTGAAATATTGCGGTGGGTTGTTTGGATTGAGAGGATCGGCTTGGTGGTCGACAACATTGTGGTGAGAAACCATGGATCTAGTTGTGACCATCCACCTTGGTGAATGGCAGGAAGGGGTTATTGGAAAATGGTCTCTAGCGACAATGAGCACAACTGGCACGCGGAGCAAAAGGTTTCCCACAGACGGCACCAACTGATGATACAGCGTATTCTAGATGGAACGGGTCAGATTGGTCCACGCTTCACAAACCGGTGTCTGAGGTACCAATCTCACCGAGAGACCTGCACAAGAGTTCAACGTGGAACGGGGAGTCCCCCAGCGAACCCTTCGACGAGCAAGTTAGAAGGAGAGATAGAATGTAGAGATAGATTAGTAATAGAAAAACTTAGCCTTCTTCTTGTCTTCGACGTCTGCTTATATCCTCTGGTAATCATTTCGTTGTCCCTTCCGACCTGTCATCTTGGCCGAAAGTCCATGCTCTAGCTTGCCTTGTTCATGGTGAGGCCGTTTTGTCTCGAC